GACAGTTCTAGGAAATATGTGAATGCATGGTAATCTGTATGGTCACACACAACTATACTGAATTTGTCTTTCAGTGTATATATTAAAGAGAAAAAAAGAAAACATGAGTTCATATTAATACTTGCAACTCCAATCTAGTTTCATTCTTTCATTTTTGCTTTGCTCATTTGTAACTTTTTCTCCAGCAGACACCCCTCTCTCATCCACAAGACATTATCTACAGCATACTTATTACAGTACCTAGTATATACACAATAAAGTAGTTCCAGAGATGCTACCTCAATATTCCTTTGAAAAATAAATTTACCAACTAGATTACTGTGTTTGTGTATAATTCTTTCTGTCTTCAGCCTCATAGCATTCAGTCAAAACATGGTTACTTAGGTCAACTCCATTATTTCCTTTTCCTTTTCAGTGTACTTAGGTCCTTCATTTGTAACTGTTGATTTGTTTATCACAGTCTATAGTCCATTTTAGGTTTCTCCCACATCCTGGTTGATTTTTTAAAATCTGCATATAATACAGATTGTTCTTTGTTGGGCACAGTTCTGTGTTTTGACAAATATACAGAGTTAGGTCTCCATCACCACAGTACCAAACAGAATGGCTCCATCACCCCCAAACTTCCCTTCTTCTGCACCTTTGTGGTCACCTCAGCCCCTAGTCCCTGTCTACCATTGATCTGTTTCTGTTCCTATAATTTTTCTTTTCCAGAATGTCCTATAAATGGAATTATACAGTATAGAATCTTTTGGAATTAACTTCCTTCACTTAGCATGATGCGTATGAGTCATTCACATTGCTGTGTATCTGAATAGTTTTTATTTGTCCCTTTGTTGCCAAGTAGTATTCCATTGTATGGATAGAATTTTTTGTTTATCCATTTACCTGTTGAAGGACATCCAGGTGGTTTCTGGTATTAGGTAATTATGAGGTTTATGTAGGTTTCTCCCATGTTTTCTTCTAGAAGTTTCTTCATTTAGCTCCTTTTCCCTTTGACAAAAATAAATTGACTATGTCTGTGCAGGTTTATTTCTGAAAACTGTTCTGTTGCACTGATCTGTATGTCTGTTCTTTCACCAGTACCACACTGTCTTAATTTTGTAGCTGAAGAGATAAGCTTGAAGTTGGCTAGTGTGAATTTTCCAACTTTGTTCTTCTTTTTCAAAGTTATCTTGGCTATTCTAGTTCCTTTGCCTTTCCTTGATATTTTTTTTGGTATCATTACTCTGCAATTACATGAGGAACATTATGTTTACTAGACTCCCCCCATCACCAAGTTCCCCCCACATTCCCCATTGCAGTCATTGTCCATCAGCATAGTAAGATGTTGTAGAATCACTACTTGTCTTCTCTGTGTTGCAGAACCCTCCCCGTACCCCACCACCCACATTATACATGCTAATCATAATGCCCCTTCGCCCCACCCTATCCCTCCCTTCCCACCAGTCCTCCCCAGTCCCTTCCCTTTGGTAACTGTTAGTTCATTCTTGGGTTCTGTGAGTCCTCTGGTGTTTTGCTCCTTCTGTTTTTCCTTTGTTCTTATACTCCATAGATGAGTGAAATCATTTGATACTTGTCTTTCTCCACCTGGCTTATTTCACTGAGCGTAATACTCTCTAGTTCCATCCATGTTGTTTGTTGCAAATCGTAGGATTTGTTTTCTTCTTATGGCTGAATAATACTCCATTGTGTATATGTACCACATCTTCTTTATCCATTCATCTACTGATGGACACTTCGGTTGCTTCCATTTCTTGGCTCTTTCCTTTATATTTTTAAGAATAAGCTACCTATATCTACACAAAATTTGCTGTAGTTTTGGTTAAGATTATATTGTTTCTGTAGATCAAATTGAGGAGAAAGAGCATTTGACAATTCACGAACATGCTTTATCTTGACTTTTTTATCTTTGTTCATTTCTTTCATCTGTTTTGTTGTTAGCACAGATTTTGTTGGATTTAAGTAATTTTTTTCTTTTTCTTTTTCTTGGTACTTTTATAAGTAGTATTGCTTTTTAAATTTCAAAATCCAGTTGCTTATTGCTATCACTGAATTTGTAGTCTATTAACTTTCTAGTTCTAGAGGGTTTTTTTTTGGTAAATTCTTTAGGATTTTCTATGAAGACAGTCATGTTATCTGCAAATAGAGACAGCTTTACTTTTTCCTTTCCAATATGTATTCCTTTTTTTTTTTTTTTTGCCTTTTTGCACTGACTAGTACTTTTAATAGGATGTTGATGAAATGATATCCTTGCTTTATTCCTGATCTTACAGGAAAGCATTTAGTTTTTCACCATTAAGTGTGGTGTTAGCTATAGGTTTTTTAATAGATGTCTTTCTTCATATTGAGAAATTTCTCCTTTGTGTTAGATTTTAGAGTTGTTCTAATGAATTACTACAAATTAGGTGGCTTAAATCAACAGAAACTTACTCTTTTACAGTTATGGAGGCTGCAGTGAGAGTGCAGTAGAGCCACACTTCTTCTGAAGATCCTAAGGAGGAATCTTCCCTTGCCTTCTCCAGCTTCTGGTAGCTCTAGGCATTTCTTGTGTGTGACAACATAACTAATCTCTGCCTCCCTCTTCTCCTTTGTGTGTCTGTGTGTTCTTTTTTGTCTTATATGGACACTCTTGCTGGATTTAGGTCCACCCTATTCTAGTGTGAGGTCATCTTGATTCTTACCTTAATTACATTGGCAAAGACCTTACTTCTAGATAAGGTCACATTCTGATGTTTAAGATGGATGTGAATTGGGTGGGGGTGTAGGGGTACTATTTAACCCACTACATCTTCTATTCCTGATTTGTTGAGAATTTCTAAGAAATTAAATGGGTGTTGAATCTTTTAAAATGCTCTTTTTGAATCTATTGAGATGATATTATGGATTTTCTTCTTTGGTTTGTTATTATAGTAAATTACAGTGATTGTTTTTTTAAAAAATGTTGAACCAGATTTGCATTCCTATGATTCATACCACTTGGTCATATATATTACTCTTTTTATATATATTGCTGGATTCAATGAATAAATATTTTGTGAAGGATATTTTGCAACTATCAATGAGGGTTATGAGGGTTATTAGTGTGTGTGTGTGTGTGTGTATGTACTTTTGGTTATGTCTTTATCTGGTTTTGATATTAATGGTATGCTGGCTTCATAAAATGATTGGGAAGTATTTCCACATTGTGTGGAACTGATATTCTTCCTTCCTTAAAAATTTGGTAGAAGTTGGCCTATAGTTTTCCTTGTTTGAAGAGTTTAACTACATTGATATGTATTTTCTTTAGTAGGTATGTAACTATGCTATCTATTTCTTCCTGAGTGAATTTTGATAGTGTGCCTTGCAAGGAATTGGTGCATTGTGTGTAAATTACTGAATTTATCTACATAAAATGTTCATAAAATCCTTTTTATGTCTGAGGTCTGTAGTGATGACCCCTCTTTCATTTCTGATTTTGGTGATATGTGTCTTCTCTCTTTTTTTAATCAGACTAGCTAGTGATTTGTAAGTTTTGTTGGTTTTTTTTCTTTAAAAAGCAGCTCTTGGTTTTATTGATTTGTTTTTCTATTTCATTGATTTCTGTTTGGTTTTTATTCCTTTTGTCTGCTTGCTTTGGATTAGATTTGCTCTTTTTCTGGTTTCTTAAATGAAAGCTCATGTTATAGATTTGATACCTTTCTTCTTTTCTTAATATAAGCACTTAATGGTATATAACTTTCCCTCTAAAGTTAAAGCTGCATTCCACAGTTTAAAACTTTCCTTCCTTTGTGGGGATACTGAAGGGTACTGATGCACTTCATGCGCTGATGTTTCTCTCCCCTAGTTCTCCACCACTGATGTTTAGGGAGACTTTCTTAGGACTCGTGCAATCTTTCCTATGTGTGCTTGGTGGGAGTCATGAAGATTACACCTGCAAAAAATTTCCATTACACCTAAATTTACAGCACCCTCCCCTCAGCCCTGGGGTGTGAGCACTTTACCCGCTCTCACCAGTGCAGCACTCAACCTCCACTAGTTTAGAACCATGTTAGGCGAACTCTTCTTGCTGATATCCTGCTGTTTTATTCCTGTATCTCTTATTTATCCCTGAAAATACCCACTTCTCCTTAGTTTTGGGGCCAACTGATTTCCCTCCAACCTGTGTTCTGAAAGGATAAAGAAAAATTGAAAACTTGACAGTTGGCTAGCTTTTTTGTTGTTGTGACATTGGAAATGACGCTCTTTCCAGCTCTCTACATCCTAAGACTCTGGAGTGCTTCTGCATTTTAGGTGATTAAGTGTGTCTCTCCCCCAAGACAAAGCTAATAACCTCTTGCTCTGATGTTAGTATATATTCATATAAATGTATGTATCACACTATACTGTAATTATTTGTGAATATATTTGCTTCTTCTGTTAGTACACTGCTTGAAGGAAGAAGCAGAATCTGTATCTTCTGTATACCCAGTGCTTCCTAGTCAACAAAAGACATTTGATACATGTTTACTGAATAGAATTACAAGAATAAATTTCATAGCACAGAGGAGGTGGTACATTGTAAGATGCTGAATAAATATTTGTTGAATAATTAATGAGTAGAAGGGCTTATTCAAATGGTAATTGAGTTAATTTATGTTTGCCAAATTTCCAGATAGTTTAAAAAAATATGGTTTGTTTTTGGAAGTCTGATTCAATCATCCTGTAATTTAAAATTATGTTACGATTCAGACAATATTTCGTTGTGTAAATATTAGTTGTTTAACAAGTATTAATTGGGGTTGGATTATTTTGTGCTCCTGTTGACTTTTTGGTTTACCTGAATACTACAGAACAGTATGTAGTAAATTATTACCTTTTTGTTTTTAAAATTTTTATTGGGCTAACTGTCACTGAGAGTGAAGTAATATTCTGTTGGTAGTACTTAGAAGTAGGTTAGTTTAAGAGTAAGTTTTGCTCTTATTTCTTTATTGTAAGTTAACAAACTAAAGTTTTCTTCAGTCTAACTGTGTCTTTTCCAGATAAAATTTTCACCAGTAGCAAAAAAGTTGTTTGTGGTCACTGCTGTGAGTGCTGTATCTGTAATTTTCCTGGCCCATCACTTTAAAAGGAGACGTGGAAAGAAGAAAGGAAAAATATTACCATGGGAACCAGAGCATCTCATACTTGAATACACTAAAAGAACTGCATCAGACAAAGGTATATGGAGATAGTGGAATTAAGTCTACAAATGAAATTTTATATGTCAATCATAACTGTGTTAGTGTTTTATTATCTAAAATTTCTTCCTTAATATTCAACTCACAAGTAGTACAGATTCATCATATTTAGGAAGATGAGAGAGTACAGACCAAAAAGAAACAGAAAACAGCAAACAGAAAAAATCAGAGTCACTTGAGATTCTGCTACCCAGAAGTACCTACTGATAACACTTTGGCATATATTTACCCATTTATATTTGCATTTAAATATCATATGACACTTAAAGTTTCATATACAAGTAAGTGATTTATCTATTTTAAGTAAAATTATGATCATATTTTTTATAGCCCTTAAAAATACTTAACAGTATATAAGAATGTTTTTCTAAATCTATAAAAATATCTCTGCTATCATTTTTAATATGTACTTAGTGTTAAATTTGTACAAATATGACCTCATTTATTTAACCAGTTCCTTGGTGTTCCCTTTAGGATGTTTTTCTTGGATTGTGCGTACTTGTATGATTATTTCCTTAGTATATAAAGTTCTAAAAGTAGAATTGCTGGCCTTTAAATGATCAATTGTTTTTTGTTAGGGATATGGTACATACTGTCAGATTGCATCAATAATAGTAATTTTTTGAGAATGCTGGATTTTCTTTTAAATTTTTAAAATAAAAACTTATTATTTAGCACATCATATGTTTTTATGATTAATTTGTATAGCAGATAATTAATGAATAACTAAAGAACATTATAATAATAATACTGGCGCTTACTTAACTGAGACCTTATTAGATCTCAGGTGAGTGCTAAAGCTGTATATTCACTGTATATTTAACCTTTATAGCCATTGTATGATTAGGTTATACTCCTATGTTATTGTTCAATTTTGTACATAAAGAAAAATTGAGATATGGAAAACTTAAGAGACTTTCCCAAGGGGCCAGAATTTGAATTAGAGTGTCTTAACTGCTACATTACATGGTATCTGCCCTAGATGAATGTATTTATGGTTAGAGGAGACAGAAATATTAAAAACTACTTGTAATGTAATATGTATATGGTTTAGATCTAATTCAGGAAAGAAAGTGCTTATATTTTGCTAAACTTGTAATTTGAAGGTTCATAGTTATTTTTATACTGATTCATATACTTATTTTTATACTGATATAAAATATCCCAGTATTTTTATGCTAATTACAGTACTTTCAATTATTTCCCTTGTTAATTAGATGAATACTTATTCTTCATTTAATAAGGTTTTAGCAGTGTTAAAAACATATATAGACATAGATTTTAATAATGGTGTACATTTAATAATTTAAATAATTGAGTGAAATTTGTTCTTAATTAGAAACTTTCTGAATGAATATACTATAAACTTTGAAATTTACCTGAAATTTATCAGTGGAATTGCTATTAAAATTAACATGTATTTATTTGTTAGGTTCAAGTTGTTCCAGTAGTAGACAGAATTTGACACTGTCTTTAAGTTCTGCCAAAGACAAAGGATCTCAGTCTTGTAACTATGCTAATGGAGGACTTTTCAGTAAATACTCAGGTTCTGCACAGAGTTTAGCCTCTGTAAGTAAAGAAAATAGTTACTATTTCTCTTACAGGTTTGCTTATGTATCTATTGTTATATATTGGATAAATGTCATACAATTATAGATAGCTCTTTGTATGGAAAGAACTTTACATCATCTGGTTGAACTTGTTTTCTTCAGGAAAGTAAAATTTTCCTTTTGCTAAATACTCAGCTAGTTTGGTTCCAGGTTTCTTTGAGTATGTGATGTGATTCCATGGGGTCCTGTGAGAATGGTTTTGATTGATTGTGCTTTAAAACCAGATGTTCTGCAAAAAGCTGGACAGTGCAGCCAGACTTTGTACTAGGTTACAAAAATCACTTGATGAGCCTGCTTAGGTAAAAGTGTTTGGTTTGCTGAAGCCAAGTATGGAGTTTTTCACCTTGTTCTCTGAAGCATTGATATAGTATTGATTGACAAGTGAGGAATGAGTTAGTATTTGTTTAAATGTAATATAGTTTAAAACTTGTTTTAGAAAACAGGTAGGATATCCACTTCCTTACTAAATAAAAGCAGAAAATGTTCAGTGATAAATATGTTCCTAATCCTCTTAATTCCCCTCCTTAGAGACAAACAGGATTGATAGTGTCTTACGTATATATTTTCAGGGAATGTATGCCTGTACCATCATGTATGTTCATTTTTTAAAATAGTTTATAAAATACATATTACATTTTGTACCTTGCTTCTATGTTTCATTGGAAGCTGCCCCATTCTTAAATGCATAAAAATATATAAATTTTTAAAGGCTGTTCTATGGTAGGTGAAGGCAAATTCTGGCACACTAAGACCTCCATCCCTTAAGATCCAATCACCACCGACCAGATGGTTACCTACCCCTTAAGATCCAATCACCAACGCAGAATGCACCCCAACCCCTACTCCTTAAAAACACGCTTCCTCACCCACGAGCTGCTGCTCCCTCTCTCTGGAGGCAGCCATTTTCTCTTTCAGATAATAAAATCTCTTGCATGGGCCCGTGTCTCCTGAGTCGTTCTGGGGTAAGGAGGGTTGCCGTGAGATACCCTTTCAGTAGGAACTGTAGATCTTTAGTCTTACAGTAGGAACTGCAGGTATGCCTGCAGACCTTCAGTTCCTCTGTGAAACTGAGCCAGGTAATGAAGTGTATGCCCATTCTGTAAGCTGGACTTCCTCCATGTCAGAGAAGTGCCTCTGTTTTCAATTTTTTCAACTAAAAACTGAAGCTGTTCTTCTTGACTAAAGTAGAGAAAAGGAGTTTCATGATAATAGTGTGAGTAGCAAGTTTCTAGAATCACTTTACTAAATTTGCCCAGCTGACCTATTCATTGCCTTGCTAGGGCTATGAACCTAGATTTCTGCCTACAAGACTTGGTAACTGGGTATGAGAGGTGTGGGAAGAGAAGATAAAAATGGCATCTTGTTCTATAATTTGAGAAATTACGGGGATGGAAATACCGTTCATGAACTTGGGAGGAAGAAGAGTTTTTCATGTGGGAAGATACAGAAGTCTTATTTTGATATAATCAGATTGAGATGCCAACTGAAGAGGGAAGTAGAATCACCAAATGCTCAGATGCAAGTGTAGGCTTAGATTTCTCAAAAGAGAACAGAACTGGAGTTAGAGATTTGAGAATCATCTGTATAGAAGTGACTGAAATGGTGGTGCAGTGGACCCTGCTAGAGAACGGAAGATGATAGAGGCTTTTCAATTTTAGTTATTATTTAGCAAAGAATCAGCATTTGAATAAATTCTAAAAGGAAAATAAGCCAGTTACTTCAAAGTAGGTATGGGTAAAATTTGTAAATAAATACTTAATAGGACAGTAATTATAAAAGTAACTGCTTGGTTTTTTATGGAAATAGCTGATTTATGTTCAAAATATTGTTCTACATAATGTATTTTTGAGTAAACAAAGGCTCAAAATATTTAGGGCCTTTAGACTCCTAAATTCAATTGACTATAATTAGATTTATTTCTAAAGGGTAGAAATTACCTGGGTTGTTTTACCAAGAATAGGATTTATGTAAATAATTTGTAAATATAAAAGGTTACAAAAGAGGTTTTGAATTAACTTCTGTTAATCTTGATTTTAGGTCCAGAGTGTCAATTCTTGTCATAGCTGTGCTTGTGGCAATTCTAATTCCTGGGACAAAGCAGATGAAGATGATATTAAACTTGTTAATATTCCTGTGACCACTCCTGAGAATTTATACTTGATGGGTAGGAATAATATAATAAACTTATTAAGATATTTTACTCATATTTAATGTGAAACTAAAGAATGATGAATTGTTTTAAGGAAAGCAACTATAATTTTTTTATTAAGGTATCATTGATATACACTCTTATGAAGGTTTCACATGAAAAACATTGTGGTTACTATGCTTACCCATATTATCAATTCTCCACCATACCCCATTGAAGTCACTGTCTGTCAGTATAGTAAGATGCCAAAGAGTCACTACTTGTCTTCTCTGTGCTACACTGTCTTGCCTGTGACCCCCTACACACCATGTGTACTAATCATATCCCTGAATCCCCTTCACCCTCCCAACCCCCCCTCCCCTCCCCCTCCCCTATGGTAACCGCTAGTCCCTTCTTGGAGTCTGTGAGTTTGCTGCTGTTTTGTTCCTTCAGTTTTGGAAAGCAATTATAATTTTAAAATATTTTTTAATCTGTTGAATTTAGTCTGCATACATAACCTCTCATATGGAGGTTTATGGAGCCTTAGCAGGGAGAATCTTCCTTGCCTCTTCCAGCTTCTGATGGCTTCTGGTTTATGGCCACATGACTCTATAATCTCTGTTTTCCTCTTCATAACTACTTCTCTGTGCATATTCAAAACTCTCTGCTTCTCTCTTACAAGGATAGTTTGTGATTGGATTTAGGGCCCACCAGATAATCTAGGATAATCTCTCTAGGACAGATTTATTGATTTAATCACATCTGCAAAGACCCTTTTTCCTTGTAAGGTGACATTTACAGGTTCCAGAGACTAGGATCTGATACTCTTTGGATGGCTATTATTTGGTCTATTATACTCACCTAACCTAACCTGTTGACGCTTATCTAATGAATCTGTCAGAATCCACTTTATATAATGTTTTATTTAGGTATCATTTGTATTCTTATGTCAAGAAAAGATTTTGAATAGAAAGATGGCCTGTGTTTCACATCTCAGTATTCCTCTTGGCTTGACCATGAGCATGTCTAGAATGACTCACCGGTGCCCAGGAAAAGAAGCAGAGAACTTAAGGCTTTTTCAGATGTTTTTCCCTGTTTTTCTCTACTCTGTTTCATGCTATATTCATTTTAATGCAAATGAATACTAATTAAAAAGCAAAACCAAAAAAATTTGATGTAGCCCTGGCCGGTGAGCAGTGAAGAGGATGAAACTTGGCAGAAGGACTGTGAGCCTCCGAATGTATTCTCACACTCCAGAATAGGTAAGACAGGAGCATCTCCAGTGTTATCACAATAGGTATTCCTGCCTATGGGGAAAGACGTAAGAGTAGTTCTTTTGCCACCTTTTCCAAAGGTCTTCAGAGTATTAAGCTCATTGTGCTTCTAGATTATGTCTTGTAAGACTTCACTCACAGTTTCTGTTGGAATATTGAGAGTTAGAATTGGAAGAAAAATAAAACAAATCTAGAGAACCTGCAGGATATTTTAGAATCATAGAAATACACTAGAGAGTGACTGGAGTGAGAGAAGAATGAAGGAATTAGAATTGTATAGCTTGGAGAAAGGAGAGTAGATAGTGATATAATTATCTTTTAAGAGCATAAATTTTCCAGAAGAAATATCTAGGCAGCAGTTCTTTACTATAGACAATTAAACAAGAAGGAAAAGCCTGAATTGGATGTAAAGAACATTTGTTTAGGGTTGTAGGTTCTTCAGATAACTGAAGAAATTATTTTAGAGGAGAGGTATTCTTTACTGTTTTACTCTGTCTTAAAAACATCTTGAGAATGGCTTGCCCAAATTCCTTAGTAGCTTGTAAAGATCTTTTTTCTATGTCTAGAAAGATTAAAGTTTTGAAACATTTTGGCTTTGTTTGAAGGTGTAATTATTTTGGCAAGTTTCTTTTTTAAAATTTGGAGATAAAGAGGCACATACTCACCTATTTTTCTACAAAAGCTTCCTGTCAGCAGGGATATGAAATCCCTTCTTTGCTGTAACCCTTTATGGGTCCCCCTATAGGCTTGTAGATTTTTAACTCTGCTTCAGGAATTTACCCATCCAAATGAGCAAGTTGGTATCATGTGGTTTAGCACACCTTTTAGTGGGGAAAAAGATGGAAAAGACTTTATTCTAGACTTCTGTGCTATTATCTTTCCTCTCGGCCTTATTCTCTCCTTCTAAGAACCTCTTATAAACTCATAGCTTCTTATCAATTAGTTTCTTCTGTTTACCTATCTTTTTTAAATTTAGGGGGTTGTTTTGAAAAATAGTTCTGTGACTATAGAAAATAGCCATTATTGTTTGATTCTTGATAAATTCATTATATTATTCTAGAAGAATTCCAAGCATTATATTTGAGTTATATTTTAAAAAATATGAAAACAGGCGGAGCCAGGATGGCGGCATGAGTAGAGCAGTGGAAATCTCCTCCCCAAAACACATAGATCTATGAAAATATAACAAAGAAAACTCTTCCTAAAATAGAGATCAGAGGACACAGGACAACATCCAGACCACATCTACACCTGCAAGAACCCAGCGCCTTGCGAAGGGGGAGAGGAAGGCCACAAACCAACAAGAAGGGAAGCTCTTCCAGCTGTCACTCGTACCAGCTCTGCAAACTATCTCTATCACCAAGAAAAGGCAAAATTACAGGCAGACAAAGATCACAGAGACAACACCTGAGAAGGAGACAGACCTAACCAGTCCTTCTGAAAAAGAATTCAAAATAAAAATCATGAACATGCTGACAGAGATGCAGAGAAAAATGCAAGAGCAATGGGATGAAGTCCGGAGGGAGATCACAGATGTCAGGAAGGAGATCACAGAAGTGAAACAATCCCTGGAAGGATTTATAAGCAGAATGGATAAGATGCAAGAGGCCATTGAAGGAATAGAAGCCAGAGAACAGGAACGTATAGAAGCTGACATAGAGAGAGATAAAAGGATCTCCAGGAA